AATAGTTTGTTGTAAACTTCCAAAAATTTAAATGTGGAAAAAAAAAAGGCAGAATCAAGAACGTTTATTGTCATTGTATTGCCATACTGTAATATTGAGGAGGCACCACTTTTGATTGTACATAGAGTATGTTATGAAGAGACATTAGAAACACTTTCACAAAAAAGAAAACTAAATCCTTAAAGGGAACCCTTAAAAATATAAAAACATCCTCAAAAGAAAAAAAAAAAAAAACAGCGGTAAATATTAAGCACTCATTTAAATTTTTGGAAGAAAAAATGTGAACATTTTGTAGAAAATATCAACATCCTTTGAAGAAATGTTTACTTAAAGTGCAGTTTTGATTAAGAGATCTGTAAAAAAGGTTATTGATCTATGTGATTGTCAGCAAGGGTAAGTATGTGTGCAAATAATCTTGCATGTCTCAGAGAGGAAATATGTGTATCTCTGTGTGAAGGAAAGATAAGACATAATCGTCCAACTGCAAGGAAGTACAATTGCCTTTAGAGCTTTTGGAAAGAAAGAGTGTTTTCAATGTTCTTGGGTTCTTTTCTTGGTGGAAGTGAGACAAAGAGTCCTTTCCCCAAAATCAAACATGAGACGTTCCTTTAGGAAATTGGGCGACAATCACATTTCAATGTGCATGGCACAGTGGAATACATAAAAAAAAACTGCCCAAAGAAAAAAACTGCCAGCTTGCTATGGGACTCGTTTAGCTTGCAAGATATATACTTTGACACCATACAAGGTTAGAAATAATTTTAAAAAAAACTCTCAGTACCTGGTTTAAATTAGATGGTCTTGAGACACTGATTTTGAAGATGTTCTTTTAATGGAACTCCCATATTTCCCTCCATTTCCAGGTCTTTGTTCTGTCTGGCCTTAGACATTTCTGTCCAGTATAGGTCTTCACATGTTTGCCTCTTTTACAAGTTTAAGTAAATGTGCAAAAATGTGGATTAAAAAAGTAATACATTTTTTAAATCCAGTCCAAATAAAATAATTTCCTACAGAGATCAGAGTCTAAAAGCTGTTGAATATCACTCATGGAGCATAGCAATCTGGCCTTTGCCGCAGGAAACACGTTGCTCTTTAAGCTGCCCCTGATTGGCTTCAACAAGCTCCAGCTGTGAGGACACACCTGCCCTTCACACCCTGCAATCAGGAGAGATAGACACAAACTTAATCTTCGTTTTTTTCTCAAGCAGATTTCAATGCATTTCACAAAGCTTTTTTTTTTTTTTTTTTTTGCAAAACCCAACTTAAAGATAGTGGGAAGACAATCCTTATAAAAAAGAGAATCAAATTCATATCAAGGGGATCGATGCTTTGGTAATCCGGTTCAAGTGAGCACAATTCTTACTCTGCCCATCATTGTCTTTTCTGTTTACACTGTCAGAGATAGGCACTCAAAACAAAAATAACACTTCTGGAAATATTGTACTTAAAGGAAAGAGTGGTCTGAAAAATGGTTAACAAGGGGAAAAAATTGCTTACATTCTTATTGGTCAGATTTACCGCATTTACAGGCTTGGCTAAAACACAATATGTATTTCTATGCATATTTATCCCTAAGGTGAGTTTTGTATATAGTTAATAATATTACGTTATAAAAAGGATGGTGTAGGAATATTCTATTATGCAATTAAATAATATTCCTTTTCTAAATGTTTTTGTGTATGGCAGACCTGAATTCTATGTAGTTAAGAAGCTAAGATTAAACCTGTATGACATGCAAAGAAAGATTATGATTCTGTCGGACATTTTTGAGATGAAAATGTTACAAACATTTTTAAACAAGAAAGAATGCTTTTAGACAATTATTAGCTAACTTTTTTGGAATAAACAATGGAAATATAAATTGTAATATGTAAAAATATTGTAAAAAATCACAAAAAAAAAATCATAACTAAAAAAAATATCTATTTTTTAATAATACACAAATATATAAACACATTACATAAGCATAAAATTCTGAACAAGCGGTGATAAAGCAGCGGTCATGGTCACCTCGTGCGACTTTCATTCAGAAAGCAGTGGCCTTAGTTAGATATGCAGTGTTGTCTAAAATTAGACAAATCTTATCAGCCTAAGTGGCAGCTACAGAACAAGTAGGGACCAACTTGATTTTACTTGATTTAGGGATATTTCTCAGGCTGAAGGTTAGAGTTAGTAACAATCTCAGGATGTTCTAAAGTTCGTAATTCTCTGGAGAAAAAATACACATATAATGTTGTAGTAATTTTAAACCTGACCCTAAATCATCTGTGTTATAAATAAACTCTACATACAAAATTGATGCCTTCTGGTATTGTCTTAGTCAAGAAGGTTGGAGCTTACTGTGTTTTTATTCCAGCTGTACACATAGACAAGGATCAAAAACAGATTCCGCTTCTCAGTAAGTCCTTGTGAATCCTGCAGCTGTTTTCCATGAAGCTCTTTACAGATTGAAGCTTATCATTGTGGTTGTGTAATTAGGTTACTGCAAGAAAAAACAGGCGATAAGTGACCTGTGTCAGATTGTATTGGAAAATAAAGTCAGGTAATTTCAAAGAAAGATTATTTATATTATTATTATTTGAATTTATTTTGTTTCGAATAAGACATGTCAGCAAGTAATGGAAGGCAGCTGAGTTTTAAGACAGGAGTTTTAGAAAGTACAGGGAAACTAAGTAAAAAAAATATATAAATAGAATCTATTATCTTAATTATCTATATATTTATCCATCCTCTAGTAATTGAGGGTGGGTAAACCCTGGACAGGCTCTCAATCCAATGCAGAGCAACACAGAGTCACATAACCATGCAAAAATGGGGAGCATAGCTAACTTTCAAGCAGTTGGGTTTGAATCCCAGCTATAAACATGTTTGTAGCTTTCATGGTGATGGCAGGAATCTCAGTCTTTCTACATCACATCAACATTCACTGAATTGTTCCTTTTTTATCATAGTAATGCAATATAACTCTTTTTGATTATTATGGGGGGAAAAAACAAATAGAAAAAAAAACTGAATTTAGAGACTCTCCCCCTGTCAATCTTTTATCAGAAAGGATTATCCCATCCTGAAGGACTGAAACGTCTTTTCTAACCTACTTATCTGAGTTGCTTTTCAAATTTAAAGATTCCCAAATAAAATATAGAGCACATGGGCAATGATGTGCAAATAGAACTGACAAGCACTAAGCCTTGTCCTCCTTTACACACACTTGAGAGAGGTTTTAAGTATTGTGTTTTGTTCTTAAAGACAACAGTTAGTTAAAAAGTGTACTTGATATTTATATGCTAAACAAATTTTATAATCACTGAATAGGGAGAAAAAGCAAGAGAAGGATTATAAAAATTTACTTTTTTAAAGATTTTTTGTAGCAGTGCCTGTCATTAGTATGACTGCACTCAAAAGCAAAATATATGTCTTGCAATGCCCTCTCGACACAGTGCTGGTGTGACGGGAGACAAAAGAACTGTAAATATCTCCCAACCCATTCCTGAGGCTGTTGCAGAACTGGAAAGCTCCTTATGTGACAGATTGGTGCATAGTTGCACACAAAGAGAATTATTGCAGCTCGTTCCTACCAGCAGTCATTAGATTTTCACAACCATCACTGTTCCCATAGAATAGTTTTATTATTATATTTAACCTCTTTGTTATTTTTTTTTCCAGTCAAAAAACCCTGTAAAATAAAAGCCTTTACTCTTTGAAATAATTTGCCAAGTGTTCAATGAGAATACTTCAAAAAGAGAGAAAAAAAGTTTCTTTAGTTGTCAGAAACCCCCCCCAAAAATCCAGGTTTCTTTGTAAAAACTGAAAACACTGTTCCAAAATGTTGGCGTTACAAACACATTAGATGCTGTATCTCAAAGAAAGCTTGGGAACAGGAGCAGCCGGTGATACTCTTCTGCCACAAAGCAAGGTCGAGGTGAGCACACATGACTCCCCCCACAATGGGCAATAAAAGGTTTTGGCCCAACCTGTTTCACACATTTGGTCATGATGAGGGGGCTGATTGTATTCACCGCGCTGCTGGTTGCCGTTCTTGCCAGGGAGACATTTGAGGGGTAAGTGGATCCTAATCAAACCCCTTAAAAGGATAGTTGTTTGAAGTCTTTACACTGTTGTACGTATGTGTGTCTTTTTTCAAGCATGTCGTCATGTAGCATCTATTGTACAAAAATGGGAAACGGCAAACTAAAGTTCTGGTTTTAAGAAAAATCGATTAACAAATTAATCATCTGATTTTAATAGAAGTTTAGGAAATTTATGTTTTGCACAGGTCATTTTAATATTTGAGGCTTAAGTTCTGCACTAGAAGAGGAATGGAAAAAACAATGATGAAAAAAATGCTTTAAGTTAAGCATAGATGTCCTTATAAAACATTAAAATATAAAATGTATTCAGGGATCTACAGTAAAGTACATACATCTTCCTGTAATTAGCTGTGATCAAACAAGCCCTTTTTTTCTTATTTCTTTAAGTGTAGAAAGTGAAAACAATACAGTTTCGCATTCAAATGGTCTGTTCCTATTCAAGGTCCTAACGGCAAATGGTAAATGGCCTGTAATTATATAGCACTGTTTCAAGTCAGAGGATATGAACAAAGTGCTTTAGACTACATTCAGGCATTCACCCATTCACTCACACACTGATGGTGGCAAACTACATTGTAGCCCTGTAGCTCACTGACAGAAGCAAGGCTGCCACCAGTCCTTCTGACCACCATCAGTAGACAATGTAGGTGAAGTGTTTTGCCCAAGGACGCAACGGAACTGAAAGGCAGAGCCAGGGGCTTGAACCGACAACCCTCTGGTTGCAGGGCAAACTCCTTTATCCGACGCAACCGTAATGTTGAAAAAAATATAGTTTATTCCACAAATATTCTAATTAATAGACATGTTTTTTTTTTTTTTTATAAAATGCTTTGCAACTTGCAACTGTCCTAAAATGGTACCCTGAGGAACACCACCATTCTGCACTCAGGAAATCAATCACCATTCAGTCATTGTGCAATGGGTCCAACAGGGGCTAGTGCCCCTTTAGAACTGGTCCCCTGTTATTGCCCCTGTATCTAAGACATGTCATGCCTTAGACGCAGATTAATGTGGTTCCATCTCTCACTTTATACATCAAATGATCAACTATTGCCCCTTTATTGTTTTTATTTTACTGAATTTTTCTGAGCTAATACTAACTCAGCTTGATCCCATAGAGGGTTGGCTGGACGTTCCTTTCTTTTCAACACGATCATCTTTTCCATAGCTGAAAGATAGATGCTACTTTCTTGAAGCTACATGTCTTTCATTGGTTTTCATTTTTTAAAGTATTGCCTCCATCTGATGGGAGACATCTGCATAGTAAGACTGTACTTCAAGCTTTCACACCCAAAATGTTTTCACATCTTTTGGCTCTCATTTGCAGACATCAGGTGCTTCGGATTGTCCCGAAGAATGGAGTCCAGCTGTCTCTTCTTAGGAACCTGGAGGAGATGATGGAGTTTGAGGTTACATAATGCTTTCTAATATTAGTTAATAAAATATATATAGTTATAAGTTAAACAAAATGGGATAAAATTTTATATATCCTGATAGTATTTGTACCATTTGTAATGTTTCATTTGTGCTTATTTCAGCTCGACGTCTGGAAGGGAGCTACTCGTTTGTCCTCCCCTGTAGATGTCAGAGTTCCTCCTCACACTATGCAGGCTTTCAAGAGTTTCCTGGAGACCAATGAGTTTGAGTACAGTATCATGATTGAAGATATCAAGGTAAAAGACCTATATGTTACCTACTCTGTCTTCTTGGGTCTTCCATCATAACGTAAACATAAATTTCGAATCAATCTTCTAGGCAATCTTGGATGCAGAGAGGAAACAGATGGAGTTTGCTGCTCGCTTAGGTCAGCCAAGGAACACTGACAGCTTTGACTATGCCAACTATCACACACTCAGTGAGGTTAGTAAACTAATTTGCTCTGGTCAGTGCAAAGTGTTTTGAGTTGATCTATGCAGATTCAATGTTTATCCATTTTTTTCTTTTTTCAGATCTACAGCTTCCAGGACATGCTGGTGGCTGAGAACCCCGACTTTGTCAGCAAGATAGTGATCGGTCAAAGCTACGAGGGTCGTCCTCTCAATGTGCTTAAGGTATATGACCAACTAGACAATCTACCTTGAAATATTTAAACAGGTTGGCGGAATAGCAAGTGAGTGTGACCGAATGTACATTTTATTTGACTGAACAACTCAGAGCAGAAGGAAAAATTTGAGATCCAATCAGATCCTATGTCAGCACCCATTTATCTCTGCATTCAGACAGTACTTTTAATCAGCGGCGATCTAGCTTGTTGAAGTTACTAAAAATGAGCCATTGGCTTCATAGAGCTGCCCTCTGCATAGGGATAACTTAAATGTGTGAGCGTACCTTAAAGGTATAGTGGAGGATGTTCTTTTTCCAGGTGAATCATCAAAATACTTGGTCCTCCTATTTGTCAATCATTCTGGTGGTATGTTAACGTAACGCCATTCTACGTGCTCGTCCACATTTTCACTTACCGGTGGTGAGTCTGACATAGTGTAAAAATTGCTAGTCTTTTTTTGGAAAGTAAATTTGTATGAGTGTTGCAAACAACAACTTCTAAACAGAGTGTGCATGAGGAGAAATGGGCATTGTGCATGCTCTCGCACGCATTAAATAGGCATTCCCTCCCAGGAGCGGGTACAGGGTTGTGCATGTGCATTTTTTTTAAGTGAAGAGGGTGGGTCTTTTCAAAAAATCGTAAAAATCCCCCACTATACCTTTAAGAGTCTTTCAAATGACTGTTGTTTGTTGGGTTGATCTGAGGGGTCCAACAGGTGCATCTTTCTCTGCCCAAATAAAACGAAAATAATATGTTTTTTAGGACCCAAAATAAAAATGTAGGTTTTTTTTTATTCGAATATCTACTACCTTAATAAGATCTCACTTTGTGCTGGAGCCACCTCTTAGCTCCAGCTCGCCTCAGCAGCTGTTTTCTCCCTCTCCCATGGAAGGCAGCTTATTCCCGCCTCAACCTACTGATTTATGCACAGGTTTTATATTAACGCTTGTCATTCGATGTATGTAGCATTGCCTTTTTATTTTTCATTAATTTTTACAAAATGCCATAATAATTTGTATTTTCTAGAATTTGGGTTTTCTGATATATAAAATTATATATATCAGGATATTAATACAATAAAAACGTATCCTTCATTGCTGTCATGGTTACTAGGTTACCAAATATACGCTGTGGTGAGGGTGATGTGTCTGACTGCTTAAGCTTAGACCAGGGGTCTGCAACTTTCAACTACAACGGTTCTTAATATTGGCTAATATTTAAAGCTAGATAAATATAGTACATTGACAAATACCATTCTTAAAGATAAAGTTGTTTTTTTAAAGACTGTTTAAATTTAATTTTCAAAAAAGAGGAATGACATTAAAGAACCTGAAATATGTCATTAGATCTATAGTTTGAATTAATCAGCTTTTAAACTATGTTTTTATTTTTTATATCAAATATTCATATTGAATAAAATATATAGCTTCCTCTTAATGATTTTCTTTAATGTTTTGTCCTTGTTTAACCCTGTAAATCTCAGGAAATAGCTGGCATAAAAATTGAATAAAAATTTTTGAAACCAGATTTGCCACTGAAAATTAAAAAAAAGGAAAGGAAAAAAATTAAATTAAACAAGTAGTTTGTATAATTTGTGATGCATTATGCATTTCTGTGCAATTTATTATACATTTTCTGTTCGGTACATGTGTCAGGATTTTCAAAATCATATTTGTCCCACTGATGATAAAGAGGATACACTTAGCGTTAAAGGCTTAAAAATACAAATAGGGGCAACAGGTTTCATATTGCTGATGTTAAGTTATTTGTTATTTAAAGGTCATGTATTATTTGTGGCTCTTTTTATTTTTTTGCCTGAACTCGAGGAAAAATGGCTATTTGCTAATCATTTCTGGCCTTTATGTCTTTCATTGAGCCACTCCTGCATAACAGAACCCAGAAAAGGTTTCCCCTGTAGGATAGGACAGCACATAGACACAGAAAAAACCCCCACCAAAAGTGCCAAAGAAAATATAAAAAATTCATTTTCTGGTATTCAGGTTTTAAAATTTAGCAAAAGAAAAATAGATGGGGAAATATCTTTACCCATCACTGTTTTTAGGAGATCCAGTTTTATTGACTTTATTGATATATCACCATTAGTTAGCAATGTGTTGCTGACTCACAGTGAGCATGCACGCAACGACAACAGGAAGAAACCTCCAGCAGAAGCAGGCCCAATGTGAGCAGCCTTCTGCTGAGGTGGACAACTGCTAGTCAAACACCCAATAACTCTCTCCTTTACAGTAGAGTGACCAATTGGTATTCTGGCCAAGGTTTTTTGATCAATGTTTACAGATTATGTTTATCTCTATTCATCTAACCTAATATAGCTAAAAGAAGGGCTAGATAAAAATTGCAGCAGTATTACAACCAAATCTATTTCTACAAAACCTAAAATTGCTGGATGCAAGTTGAGAAACTTCTCTTCAGATAGTTCTTTAACAAAAGAAAAGTCCATTTCCTTCCACCTCAAAATGATGCACCTTTTTTTTGCTCTTTTTCCATCACATAAAATGACAAAACAATTATATTTTTGTTGTACTGTGACAAAATGTCATACAGATCCAAGAAGGATAGTTGTTATAGTACATTTTCTTAATTTTGGAAACGTTACCGTGGTTTCTTCTCTCCCTCCCATGTCTTTAGTTCAGTACCGGTGGAAGCAATCGTCCTGCCATCTGGATCGACACTGGAATCCACGCCAGAGAGTGGATCACTCAGGCCAGCGGCCTCTGGTTTGCCAAGAAGGTACCTCATTAGTTCTCACTGTCCCTTAAGCACTAGGCTAAAATATCAATGACTTTTTCTGACTCTGTTTCCCTTGATTTTGCCTCTAGATTGTGACAGATTATGGAAAAGACCCTGCCATCACTGCAATCCTGAACAACATGGATATCTTCCTGGAGATTGCAACCAACCCTGATGGCTACTATTTTACCCATGTCTCTGTAAGACATGTTTTTTTTTTTTCTGCAAAGAAGTCATAGGTTTTTTTTCTCAAAAGTACCATCACTCAAAATATTGATATGTTTACAGAACCGTATGTGGCGGAAAACAAGAAAACCCAACCCTGGATATTCATGCCCTGGAGTTGATCCCAACAGGAATTGGGATGCTGGTTTTGGACGTAATATCTTTCTTTCTTTCCCTTCTTTCTTTTTCTATGTCATTCTTTTCCCCTCTGATCACATACGGTGTTATATAAAAGCATGAAAATACAACAAAGTCCAAGCTGCAGTGCAGAACTGGATTTACAGTAATTCACAGCACATTGTCTGTAATAGGAAATTTGCCAATGCTACCACTAGGCGACACCAAACAACTTTGTTTTGCACATCTTCCTTTAATGGTGTACTAACCCAGAGGACACTACAAGGTGCACATTTTCACTCAGGAAATTACCTTTGAGTAATAAATGCATAAGGTATCTTTGTTTTTCATTTGCTTGAATAGTTGGTGGTTCCAGTGGTTATCCCTGCTCAGAGACCTACCGTGGACCCAGCCCTCACTCTGAGTCTGAGGTTAGGTCCATTGTGGAGTTTGTGCAGTCCCATGGCAACATCAAGGCCTTCATTTCAATCCACGCCTACTCTCAGATGCTCTTATACCCCTACGGCTACACCACGGCCTCTGCCAAGGACGAGGCTGAGCTGGTACGAAAATCATTCGGTGGTGGTTTTATTATTTTCCACTACTATATAATGTGTATTACATTTTTATTGTTCTCTGTAGGCTATGGAAACGCAAATCTAAACATTCGTGAATTTAAAACACCTTCACAATTATTAACATACTTAGTGAAGATTTCTAAAAAACATCCATCTTCTATTGCCACAACATAATTCTTTTCTGAAGGGTTGTTTTATAAATTAAAGGAATAGTGGAGGATGTTCTTTTTCCGGGTGGATCATCAAAATAAGTGGGCCTCTTAATTGTCAATCATTGTGATGATGCTCATCCAAAATATTTTCTGCAAATGCGCACTTTCAGTTGAATGTGTGTCGTGAGTTACAGTTTCAGCCAGTCATCGAAGCTTGCCTTTCTCAGCCTTGCACATGCAAGACAAAAAAGTACCAATTACCAATGCTAGCAAAGTTATCTGTAACTTTAGCTAAAGTTAGCTATAACTCGAGCGTGCAGGAGAAAAAAATGGGCTCGTGAATGCTTCTGCACACATTTACTAGGCGTGCCCTCTCATTCCCTCTCAGGAGCAGGTACAGGGTTTTCAAAAATTTGGGAAAATCCATCGCTGTACCTTTACGTTTAATCTGATTTTATTCATTTATATCCTTGTTTTATTTATACGTTTAGTGAGTTTAATGACATTTTAAAATTTTCTACAACATAATTTCCTAATTGCTTTGGGAATTCTTTTTTTTTTTTTCAATTATTTCCCCTAACTTTTAAGCTGATTACTTTGTCTATAAAATTTTTTACTAGCAATCCATTACTTCTTTCCCCCAGGAATGTGAATATGAGTTAAAACAGAAAGCAATTTTTAGAAGGCACTTGAAAAAAAAAGACACCATGACATTTTTAGCAAGCATTGATTTTTATAGGTCTAGAAATGGGAGTAATGGAGTTATGATGCTTTATGAAAAAAACAAATCAGTATACCTAGACCTCACCGTAAATAATGAAAGCAAGTGTCAGTGCTACAGATGACAAAGCTTGCTCAGTCTTTTCTACACAACTTTGCAAGAAGAATAGCACTCACAAGGGAAGGCGTGCAGTGCATTCCTTCTTAACAAACAGGATATCAATGTATTTATTCTCTAAAAATTAGCCTTTCAAACTATGCATTTTGGTACACTTTTTCTAATTTGTGATTAAAGAGAGTAATTTTGCCCCTTTTTCATAAAACACAATCTATGACAAACCAAGTATATTTCTGGTTTCACAAGCACAAATGAGTTGTTAGTATGGATCGGGCTACCGGTTCCGATCGGGAAATTACAAGCATTACAAACCACAAGTAGGAAGAAGTCAGTATTGTCTCAAGAGGTATGATTTTTTGAAAAGTAGCCAATCACAGGCTGTTTACTTTCTCAGTTTGTTTCAACCCTCGAGGTCACAAAAGTCAATATGAGTCACAGAAACAGGTCGTCATGCGAGTATGAGAGAATCTACAGGAGCATATAAAACAAGAGAGCAGAGAAGGAGGATGGACTTTAAAAGAAGGATTTTAATGATATGCTGGCTCATGTTATTGAATCTGCACATATAAAACATTTGAAAAATCATTGGAGAGTAGTTTATATGTGTGTGTTTTAAATAAAACTGCTTTTATGAGTGTTTATCACCGCTGTGAACTATTGGGAGAATTCTCACTTCAAACCCATGCCAGCATCCTGCCCTGTGCTACAAATGTAAAATGTAGAACCCTCTACACTTGATTGGATTTTAAGTAGAATAGACTGGTCTGATTAGAATAAGATAAAGGTTTTAAGAAACAAATACCTCAGATGTGCCTGATGAGGAACAAAGGATGCATCTTTGAATGTCACGCATAGTATTTAAGCATGGTAGAGGAGATGTTGGGCTGCAGGCCCATCTTACTGCCAAATACCCTTGATAGATCTTCAAATTGCATGATAAACTATTTACCAGTTTTAAATAAAATGTATTGAATTATACGAGGTAACTGAAAATTGGTTGTAATCTTGTCTTACAAAAGGACACATATCAGATGCATAGTCAAATCCACATAGATCTATTGTGCAAACAGGAAAAAGCCCCACTTTCTGTGTTTCAGATTTGTGAATTTTTCCTAAAAAAATGGCAGAGCTGCTAATGCTCTTGTCACCAGAGAATATCATTGAACTAGAAATAAATGTCCAAACAACTTTTTTTGCAGTACGCACTGGCCCAGAAAGCTGTCAACAGCCTCACTTCCATGTATGGCACTCGCTACACGTATGGTAACATCATCGACACCATCTGTAAGTTTTTGCATCACAGCCAGAAGACATTGTTTGTTTTTTTGTTTTTATCAAGTATAACTATATTTTTTTTGCAGATTTTAAAGTTTTTAATTTCAACGCACAATAAAATATTTTACCGACAAATATTTGAAAAGTGCAGCAAGTAAAAAATATACCATATTAGTACGAAGTAAAAAATTTTTTTGTTTCATTAAAAGCAAAAAAAAGAATCATACAAGTTTCTAACATAGAAACTAAAAAGAAATGCATTCCAAAAATTGAACGTTGAAAAAGTTTTAGAAATAATTCATGATGTTCATGTTAAAGTTCAACCAATATTTTACTCTGTTTTTTCCGATTTTATTTTTTCTAGTTTATTTTATCAAAGATCTTTATATATTTTTGGTCAGTTTGTCGTGATGGAGTGAGTTTTACAAATTGCACTAAACTCTTCTCAAATCCTGTTTTATAGATTTTAACCTCAGACCAAAAGAAAGAAGTGTACATAGGGAATGAAATCTGTAAAGAAATCAATTTGACTAATTCAGTATCCAAAAAAAAAAATAAAAAAAAATGTAAACAAAAATAGAATCTGGAAATAAATAAAAAACTAAAATTTGTTTAGCTCTTGCTTAAACATTTGAAATTACACTCTTTGCTTCTTTGTTCTTTGCTTTTAAAAATATTGTAACAGATTTCTGTCCACACATAGTTTGTATCTTCATGGATTTAACAGTGATGAGAAGGTTTGTTTGTCTTTGTTTTGCTTAATCCATCTTTTTTTTATTTTTCATTCTAGATCAAGCCAGTGGTGGCACAGTTGACTGGACCTATAACCAGGGCATCAAGTACTCCTACACCTATGAGCTGAGGGACACTGGTTACTACGGGTTCCTCCTGCCACCCAATCAGATCATCCCCACAGCTCAGGAGACTTGGAGTTCTCTGATGGTCCTCATGGATCATGCTTACAAGAACCCATATTAATGCAATTGTTTGTTTGTTGACAGAGGGAATTTCAACTGTGAGGACTTTTTAATCTTTGAGACGAAAACAGAATAAAGTAAAATTAATAATAAAAATATAAAATGCACATTAAAAAAACAAAACAAAGATGTGTTTCTTTCCAATGCACTTTGAACATTTTGAGATCTCATTACAGCATGGTTTGTTATCAAAACTTTACCTTCATAAGAAATCACAATGATTCCAGCATTTTTAAGACCAGGATGTTCCGCAAAAATGCTTTTTAGAAATTTCAAAACAAAAGCAGGTTTTCCGTTGGATGACTTTCAACATAAAGAAGTGATTGAAAAAACATAACAGCAGGAAATTGATTTGAAGAAAATATTTTAAAATCCTCAATTTCTGATTCTAAAATTCTTTGAAAAACACAAGCAATAGGCTTTTTCGAAATTAATGTTTGATTCGGATATTACAATAGATATTTTCCAGCTATTTTCGATAGGAAACTGCCTTTACTCATATAAATAATACAAAAGAAATATGTTTTTAGGATTTGCTGAAACATACAGTGACAGTGCCATGAATTTGTTTTCTGCCTTTTAGAGTTAGATTTTTGTTAAGTAACATATATACACTGCTCAAAAAATAAAGGGAGTATGGGAACAACAGAATACTATAACTAATTAAATGAAACGTATGCAAAAGCAAACTATCAAAAGTCATAAAGGGGCAACATGGGTTGTGTTCAAATCCTGCGGCTGCCAAAAACCTCATAGCACGGCCACTGGTCTCTTGGGATTCAAAGACTCCTTCCTGTGAGGCAAACAAATGCACCCTTCTTTTGCCCAGATAGGTTTCCTTATCCTCAGGAATAAAACAAGTACACAGAACAGTATTAAGTAGTTCGGCATCTGTTCTTTGCCTACTTTGTGTATCAACTACCATGGTTGCAAGGTGACAGAGCTTACGCTGAGTAAGGGGCGTTGAAAGCCAGAGATGGCTGGACCTGTTTGAACCTATTGCTGAGCTCTTCCAGCCTCCTTATTTTCATGGCCTCTGAAGGACCCATCTTACCAAGACTCGGTCCTTTGAAGGATGCAGCCACTGAAATCGAACACCACATATGTCTTTCCTCAGGTTTACCTTGTTAGCAGCTTCAGCCATTTCATTTCCATTAATTCCAGCATTAGCTGGGAGCCACAAAATAACCATATCTACCAAGTTTAAAAGGCGACTTTACTAATTACATCTGCTCTTGCCTTGCATCCCCCATCCTTTAAATGAATCAGTGCAGACAGAGAATCAGAACAATTGATCACATTCTGAATTCCTGTTTCCTCTACCCACCATTGTCCCCAGAGGATTGCAGTCAGCTCAGCGGTAAACATAGAAATGCCGTCAGATAAACACTGATATTGATTGAACCCAAATTGGAGAATATAAATACCAAAACAAACTCTTCTATTTACTGGATCTTCCGAACCATAAATACTAATCTGTCCACCTCTCCATTCAGTTCCGAGGTGGACATTTGCATAAGTCCCCAGACATCCTTTAAAATCTAAAAACTAATTTATTTTAAAATCAATATCTAGCTCAGGCCACAACAAAGATGGAATTACTGGCCAGATTACTGGGGGAACATCATCAATCATCAAAAAAAAAGTCCAAGATTAAGTTTCTTCACATAACCTTTCAACGAATGCAGAAAACTTCTTCTATTGAGCATACTTTTGCCTTTTACCAATTTTCAACTATCTTCCACCACAGAAGGTAAAAAAAAGTGCTGCACCAGGCCTCTTTAACTTTATTATATTGTTTAGTCCGAGCTTTATTAGTTTCAAATTTGAATATCTCTCATGCACACAGTACAGCTTTGACAAATATAGCTAAATAGGAGCAAGATGTATTGAAGCAGAACACCAGTTTGGGAAAAGTGAAGTTTGACACCACTATTTTAAACATTCATCCCTCTCTATGATGTGGAGATGGAAGGAACTATCTCTGTACAGGCTTTTTACTTTTTAGTTTACGATTATCCAGCTGTGCTTTCCAGTCATTAAATAATAAATAATATGACTCCAATCTTAAAACATTATCCAGAAGCCTAAAATGCATTTTGTGATGTGCTGGAATGGCTTCCGCCTTAGCTCTGACACTGTTGTAGCAAAATGTTAAGAGGCGGCTGCTTATGCACATTAAGACTATCACTAGATAAGATACTAAATGGATCGATAGATGCTACTATTAATACATTATGTATTTAATATCATTAATGAATGTCCACCTGAAATAAAAGAAAATATTTATTCCAAAAAATCTTCTTTAGCTGATTTTATAATGTATTATCTGTCTACATCAAAATTAATTAATTTAAGATCTGTTTTTGTATTGACTTCATTTTAAAATTTACATTTTTTATTGCAAGATGTATTGATTTTATTTCATAATGATCTTTTGTTTTGTGACATTGTGTGTAAAGCTACTTTAAGTACTTTAAAGACTGGTGAATAATAATTTATTGATAACAGTATTCATTTATCAAATTTTTTTATGTGATGATTTGGGATGCATGGTGGAGTCCCTTGCAGCAAGAAGGTTCTGGATTCGATTCTTGGTCTGGGGTCTTTCTGCATGGAGTTTGTTGCATGGCTCCCCATGCTTGTTTGGGTTCTCTCTGGGTACTCCAGCTTCCTCCCACAGTAAAAAAGACATGACAGTCAGGTTAAATTGCTTCCCTAAATTGTCCTCAGTTATTACTGTGTGCATGATTCAGTGATAATCATCCACCGTGACCCTGACAAGGACTAAAAGGGAGAAGATGAAAGATTTGATGTAATAATTCCTAATACTGTACAGCAGAGATTGGTAACTTGTTACCCCCCCCCCCCGCAGCTCCCTGGAGCTTTTCCAAAAATGTATGAAAATGGAAAAGGACTCATTTTGTATGTTTGTTTTACTATGGTGTGCAGGAGGTCAAACAAACATTCATCATTTTCCAATGCTGTAAAAATGTGCATAATATATAAATTCAAATAATAAATGTTAAAATTTTTGTTAATGAAGATTTGCATCATAGCCTGCAACACACGTTTTAGGTTGGCAGAGCACCAGGCAGGTGGCTGTTGTAAACAACGTGCACGTGAATCTTAGCCATGGATCCCAAAGGGAAAAAGGCAGATAGCTGATGAGAACAAAAGATTCAAATAAGAATGGACTGAATTATTTGTTTCATCACCAATGCGGAAGGATTGCCTGCATGTTCGCTTCTTAATGAGAAGTTGTCGAAAAATAAAAAGGGTAATTTGGAAAGGCATTTCCAGAGAAGGCATGCTAAATATGTAGCCGACCACCAAGTTAAGAGTGAGAGAAAGAAAGTTGGATTGCAGACCTTCTGGATAAATTAGCAGATTGCAAAGATACATTAAGAAGTGACTTACATCTCCAAACTTCCATGCTGCTGCTAGTTGTGGTGCAAACATGGGAAATCATCAACAACGTGAACTTTCTCCATTCCCAGTCAGCCTCCATCAGTTTCACCTGCTCACCCAATATGTGACCAGCTTTCAGACCAGCTAGTAGTGCCAGATTATTATGAGCCATCCGTGAGTTTAATCCAGCGTTCTTGTTACCTGTCTGCCTGTGTGATTTTGACCAGAATCTGCCTCCTGATTATCTGAGCCTACCTGAACCCTGTCGGACCTGACATAGTGTATGTATCTGGATCTCTGACCTGTTTTTTGTGCTTGACCTCGTTCTTGTATTCTCCCCTGGATTGTCTCTGGTTTTAGGATCACTTAGCTCTGACTCTGGACCGGCTCTTGGAATCTGAACTCTGGTCTGTCCTCATGATCATTCTGCCTCTCTCTGCTCTCATGGATCTGCATTCCCCTGGACCAATGAGTTGCGGTCAAAGAAGGATTCCTCCAAGCCAACTTGACGGACTCGGGAATCCTCAGAGGTTCACCAATGATGTCACATGCTATCCGGCATCTTCAGAAACCCTCAAAGTTTGTCCCCAAACTTCAAACCAGAAATCAACACTTGAAACATTGCACTCTGTTCCTGCCTGGTCATTCAACTGTCCAAGCTCCTTAAGAAGTTTCATTTGCTGACTCTAGGGAATCCCTCACTCAGATTTGAGTAAACTGTTTGTTTCATTGTTCACTGCTTCATGCATGCCAATGATTTGACCTCTGTGAGACATTTTTTCCATGACCATGGGATGTGTCGTTCGAAAATGGTTGTTAAAGATTAAAGATTTGAGAAGCAACACATTGCACCAGTTGTGCTTAAATACCTTGTTTCCAGCTGGAACACAATCACCTATGCAGTAATTATCCAATGGGAGGCTTGTACCTACTTGCTTTCCAACCGTTTTTGTCCAGACAGTGTAGCTATCAGTGGGGAAGGCTGCAGATGCACACAGAGGAAGAAAGAAATTATAGAAAAGTAACAAGACCAGAGATAATGTTTAGGACAGAAATAAAACAGGTGGCACAGGTGACATAGAGAGCCTTTACATTTATCAGATACATCCACCGAATTTCCCAGAGAGCCTAAAATTTGGAGAAATCATATCTTACCATATCTTAGCTTAGACTAAGATGAGCACAAGATGAATGTATTCTGTATAGCAGTAGAATCTTTATGTACAGACAACAACAAATTGAATTTTGATATAAGGATTATAAGAGAAAATGTCATCCCAAGGCTTTTTGGGAGGTACAAAAGGGACATTTGGGAAACGTTTAGAAAAATACATTCTGAATTTATAAGTTGCCAAAAAAAAATAGAGAGCTGTTTTAAATGCATGCAAAGATGATGCTCATACTGTTTCATCAATAACCTAAGCTTTTAATTCAATCTGTTTTTTTATGATACATATGATTGTCTTCTGTATGTGATCAAGCAAAATATCTAAAAATAAAATCTGCAAAAGTTGATATTTTAAGACTTTATCTTATAGGCCTTTTCTTTATTAGTTAGAATTATCACATGCAGTCGCATATCGATGGTAATGGGCTTTATTAGATTTCTTTAAGAAAGTACAGAAGCACCTATAAGGAAGTGTTTATATAGCTGAATAAGGAAACAGCAAAACTTAGACTAGCTTCCTCTTTCTTGATAAACTTGGTGCAACATATGTTTGTCAAAAACATAAAGAACATGGTGTAACTCCAGCTGGTGAAACCCAGAGGTTCTCCTGAAAACCAACCTTTAAAAAGCCGTGTTTGGTCTAAGACTGAATTTTTTATTACTCCATCATGATGAAGACGTTCAGTGTATTTGCAGCTCTGCTTGTTGCTGTTTTCAGCAAGGAAGTCTTTCATGGGTGAGTGAGCCGGCAGTTATCACTATATAGCAATGAAAGGGCCTTTATCAACATAATTACAAAAAGTCAAACTAGATCTTATAACTGCATTGACTAACTTTGACCAAGGTGCAACAAAACAGATTATATTAAGCAAATGTTTTCTCTCTTATATATAAACTTACACAATGTTTTCTATCTATTGATTTATTGTAATATGAATATACTTAAACAAAAAAACAGATGAAAAGGCCTTTTAAAACCTTGCTGGAATTTTAAGCCTTTAAAAAAATGTGATTTATTGTGAAGAATAAATTAGGACACCCACAATTATTGTAACATAGGTTTGCAAAAATTACACATAGATATATCAAGTCAGCAGCACGTAATTATAACCTTGTAACAACATTCTACTAAAGGTTTTAACAGTTTATACATTCATTTTTGTGCACTCCTGATCGCTGAAGTGAGAATAAACACTGTGGTGAGATTAAAAAAAAGGGGTTTCTTTGGCCTCAGAAAGACAACAATAGAGAGAGCAAAACAGTTTTAACAGAGGTGTATAAAGTTCTCCAAAAAAGGCAAAAAAATATCATATCAGGAAATTGCTTTGGTAAAATTTAAGGTTCCAAATAAGAAATGTAAATAAGTAAAGTTCAGAAAATTGATTAAAGTATTTGAGATTAGTTTTTTTTTAGGTCCCTATACTTCACTTTGTTAAATAAAATGGAGGAAGAATTTGTTGAAAACTGCTTTCACCCCAAAAACATGAGGTATTCAAACAGTACCGTCCATACGAACCCAAAATAACACAAATGCCAAACAACGACACACAGCCAATAAAGTCCCATTTGGCTGAGAAAACTTAAAGTACCTTCTGTAAGAATTCAATGAAATGTTTCAACTCTGCCTATGAGCAAAAATAGATGGGTGTTTGAGAGAAAAAAAACAACTAAAGTTTATGGTATCGAAATAATTCACAAGCAAAACAAAGTAGATTTCCCTATACTTTGCAGAAAATAATGCAGAATAGTCTTGCAGGGTTTGCCAGCTTATAGAACATATTTATTATATTATATTATTATATTTATACATATTATATTATTATATTATATATTATTATATGTATACATATATAGAATAAAATGTAGTGGTATAAATAGCTCTCTCACCTCTCGAAACAAATTAAAGAAATAAACAGTTCTGTTTTTAAAGATTTTCTTTTTTTTTTTTTGCTTTTGAACAGTTGGGAGTGTGGACCAGGACAGACAGAGCATAGTTCTTCTTCCCTTGTTCACATAAACAAATATTTTCATGAAAATTTTTCATCATATTTTAATTTGCAGCAAGAAACAATGTCAGTGATTGTTTTGGTAAAGAGGTTAATAAAAAAATCTTGTTGGCCTTACCTTGGTCCTACTATGACTCTATCTTTCTTATACCTCATCCAAAGTAGTTAGCTATTTTATGTATTTATGCTGCTATATGCCGAATCTGCTGGATGACATAGATACCACTTTTCCTCATCACCCATCATTCTATCTCTATTCTCCTATTCAAGTATTGTTTGTTCAACCTCTTAGATGTTCTATCTGGGGTTTCTTTCAACATAGTATCTTCATCTGGTCTGTACCTGTTTGGCTGTGACTTCATCCTAAAGAGAAAAATCAGCCGTGCTTCTGCCGTCAACATCTCTCTTTATAGATGTTGGATCTTGGCCTGTGATCATCTCACTAAATGGCTGATATAAGTGGCTATCAGTCCCATAGAATGGCTTCAGATTGTGCCAGTAGACTCAGCAGGTTGTTATCATTGAGTGAATCCTAATCCTAAGCCTAAAATAATTCCTTTTCTACCATGGAATTAATGGATATATTTGTGCGCATTCTGAAAATAATTTCTGAAGATCTTCATGTACTGTAAATATAACTAAATAAAAATAAAATGATGGGCATCTCGCCCATATTAAACAAACCAAAAACAAGTGATCTCAAGCCCTGTCAACTAAGTAGTAGAACCCTCTCCCTATAAATATTGAATTCTCTGTAAAAAAAAAAAAAAAAAAGTGACAATCTTTCTTTAATAAGATCCTCATCAAACGGACACGCAACCTAAAGTGTGTATAGGACCTAGTGAATGATATATTTATATCATATATATATATTTTTCATGCACAAAACAAAATGTTACTAAATCAGGAAATAAAACAGCGTGATTGGCTGTAAGGAGAGCGGAGACATTGGACACTCCGAGTTAACTGAATAAAACCTGCCACCGACCAGGTTAGCTCTGGGTAGAATATTTCTACAGTGACTGAAAGAGAGGTTGAGGAAACTCTCAGTTTTCAGGTTTAGACAACTTAGAGTTTTCAGTAAACCTGCTTCGTGAAACGGACTCCTAGTCTTGGAAGTGTCATGATATTTTCAAATGTCAGATTTTGAAATTTTGTTATTTCAGATTCAATCTTTTACGTTTTCTTTCACAGACTTTGTATTTTCAATTTTTTCCTCAAAATTCTGATTAAGTTGGCATCACATTATCTTCACTTTAAGCCCAATACAAACATTCGCTCTTAACCAATAAAAATACATTTTCTAATGAAAAAAATTGAAAGCATCTAATTCAAAAAATAAAATATGAAAAAGGCATTTGAAATAAGAAACAATTTGCAAAAATACAGCAAGGATATTCTCAAAATCTTTTTTTAATGAAAAATTTTTTTCTGAAAAGCCGTTTTTTCTGATTTAAATTTACATTTTTTTTAACTAACCGTTTAAAAAATATATGTTGCCTTTTTTTTTATAATCTTGTCAAAATGTGTTGTTTGCCTGAAAAAATAAAGGAACAAAATTAATTCCATAGGGTAAGGTCATAGAAATGGTTGAAAATAAATGAAAATCAATGGAAGTGAATGTGAGTCAACACACGTGTTTCCCATCATTTTGGAAGATGAGAATTTGTATTTGTGAGTGTTTTTGTTCTACCACCTTATCCTGAACAATAAAACTGAACTATTGTACTCTTCCTTGCAGGCATCAGGTGTTAAGGATTGTGCCAAAAGATGATGTCCAGATGTCCCTTATCAAACTCTTGGAAGACATATTGGAATTGGAGGTTATTTATCAGTTTACAGTTTATCAGTTTTGTTTGAAAGTAAAACAAAATCATTTATATATGATGTAAAACTTCTGAGTGTTCCTTCAGCTGGACTTCTGGAGATGGGTGGCGCCTGTGGATGTAAGAGTTCCCTCTCACAGCCTTCAGGCTGTCATGACCTACTTGGAGAGTCACAACATCAAGTACTTCCCAGTGATCAAAGACCTGCAGGTATGCAATAACAGATAAGCGGTTCTATGCAGGGGCCAACAAGGGCCACAGACCTAAAGTATTAACAATGTAATACTAAATACATTTCTTGTGATGATATCCGCCGGCGCAGATACAATGGATGATTGTTCACTGTTGTCCATTTTATTATTTAAACTTTGATATCAGCAATTTTTTAAAAATTCAGGTTTTGCACTTTTAAACAGTCGATGACAAAGGTTATCATTTTCTTACACTATATTTACGATCCACAGAGCCGCAAATGGCTCTTTGCTTCTGTGTCTCACATAGTATACCAAGCAGCAAAGGATTGCCATTTTTGGCTTCATGCTTTGGTTCTCAAGCCTCATTAAAATGCACTGGCCCCTACCATTTAAGAGTAATTTTGCTTTTTTCTCAGACTTTTTCGAAATTATTTTTCATTTTATATGTATTTTTTTATGTTCTTTGTCATATTTTTTTCACAAATATTATATTTTAGATTGTATTTTCTTTTATTTCGTACATTTTTTTTTTCAGAATGTTTTAATCTATGTTCTCTTTTAATATCTGTTTTGCCAGATTGAATTTTATGAATTGTTTGAATTGTTTTCCATTGGTCTGTGTGGACATTAGCCATAACATTTTTATTGGTCAAGAGCGAGCATATGTATTGAAATTCCAATAAAAAGAGAATGTGATCTGTGAAATGTGAATTAAAAATCTTGCAACTCATAAAACAGTTTGAAAAACACAAATGAAAAAAAAAGTAAAACATGCTAAAAAATAAACGTAATTGGAAAAATAAAATTTGAAACTATAAAAACTGTATAAAATGTAACTTATTAAAAAAAAATGAACTATACTGAAAGAAATCAGAAGAAACTGCAAAGTTATTTTCAAAATGGGTGGTAAGGTTGCTTAAGGACCCAGATGCAGAGGCGAGCAGTAAATGTTGCAGTGTTAAAGTAACACT